TTTAAATGGCCCTTGAGAGTGACGTCTTTTGTGTTTTTAACACTGTAAAATACTTTATTAAAGAACAAAAAACAGTACAGCACAGGGGCAAGCACTTTGGCCCACAAAGACATGATGTCTTTCTAAACTAAAAATCTTTTGCCTCTATGTGGTCTGTAGACCTCAGTTCCCTGCCTATTCATATATCTGTCAAAATGCCTCTTAAACTTTGCTATTGTATCTACCTCCACCACTTTCTCTGGCAGCACATCCCATGCTCTTAACACTCTAAAAAAAGACTTGCCTTTCATATCTCCTTCAAACTTATCCCCTTTTTACCTTAAAACCATGTCCCATAGTAATAGACATTTTTATCTTGGGAAAAAGACTATTAAAGGACCAAACATGATTGAAAGTTAAAAGCTAAGCTGAGTAAGTGGTCTTGTGAAAGACACAGTCATGGGATGTATCTATTATTGCCACAATGTTGTGTGCTCGCTGTTCGCAGAATGGTCTCCTCCACAATCAGGAGTCAAAACACAGACTGGGTGACCACTTTGCAGAACACCTATGCTCTGTCTGTAAAAAAATGACAGTCAGCTTCCAGTTGCCTGTCACTTCAACACACCACCATGTTCCAACACCAAAGTTTTTCTCTCGGGCCTGCTGCAATGTTCCCACTCAAAGAACAACATCTCATTTTCTGCTCGGGGATCCTGCAGCCTCTAGCACTCAACACCAAGTTCAGTATGCTCTTATTATCACTTATTCAGCTGCTCTTCTGTCCTGGCCTGCTATCCATTATTTCTTTATTTACCTACCCCTTTCATATCTCTCTCTATGGGCTCCATTTCCACCTGTCCATTCACTTCTCCTTCAACATCTCCACCCATCAACATCATCTTCAGCATAAATACCACATTTTCCTAGCTGCTAACAGCTCTGAAGAAGAGTCACTAGACTCGAAATTTTAACTCTGCTTTCTTCCTACAAATGCTACCAGACCTGCTGAGTTACAACAGCAATTTGTGTTTTTATTTGGTTCAGATCTCCAGCATCTGCAGTTCTTTGTTTTATTCCATTGCAATTGTTTATGATTTTAAATGGGTCTAATTTTAATTCTGTGCAATTCAATGGGTTTTGAGTGGGTTTAAGTCTCACCCACATAAACTTGCAAGTGAGAAAGGTAGAAGTGGATTATAGCCGTTGTTTCTCAATTTATTAAAACCCATATCCTGCTAGCATATATGATACTTACACCATTGTAGTAATTTTTACAGGACAAAATGCAGTCCTTCTTATTGCTTAAGGAAATTAGGGTGCATCAGATAAGTGACTTCAGCTTTATTTTCACAAAAACATTAATATAAACTACAGAAGGCATTCATAAAGTAGTTGAGAGTTTATCAAAAAAAAAGACAAATAATTCAGAAATATTTTATGTTTACAGGTCATGTTTTACAAAAATAAGTTTTATATTGATTGCTTAAACCTTAGCTATAGTAAACAAAATTCAAATTAAGCAGAACTTGTCATATTTTGATTTATTTGATTTGAATGGTTTCAAATCCAAAACTATTTCAAATCTTGTTCCCTATAATATTAATCTGAAAATAATACTTTCCTTCAGATAAGTCACCAAAATTATTAAAATCATTCCACTGTTTGAATTCACAGGAAGTCAATAGGAATTAGTCTGCAAGAAACGTGAATAAATTAGAAGCCTTCAAATATAATTACTGTAAGAAAGCATAACTGTAAGCATCATTTTGATTAACAATAGATTTTAAACTTACTTCCAACACACGTCCCAGATGAAAATGAATCTGCAACTTTAAAATTGGAAAAATATCTGCAGAAGATACATTGTTTCTGCATAATTACTGAAAAATAAGGAAAGTGATTCAAATTGTGTGAAGTGGTAAAGAAATCTTCTAAAATTGATTGAGTGTGGAATATGTAACCTTAATGTACAGCACTCAAAATGGTAACATTTCCACTCCCGAATCAATTGGTAAACGTAATTCTCTTTTGATAATGGCACACAGTCACAATTTAAAAACTGTTCTGTTCTTTATTTGATTCTTCAAAGTTTTGTACTAAAACACTGTTGCTAAATACAAAGACATTTGCATGGTGGTCCGTTCTGCTTTATTGTACTGGCCTTTTACAATGGTCAAACACCTCTCAAAAAGGCATTTATGCTTCAGAATGAAAACATGCAACCGAAGAAATGCTGAACTGATAGTTCGTACAACATTGTATTTCTAATTAGAAACAAAACTGAAAATAAGGTAGTTTTTTTTTGAAGAAAGGAGACGTGGTTATGAAGGAAAGTCTGAGAGTTTCAACAGATGAAAACACTAAAAATGCAGTTGTTATATATTTTTCCACAAAAATTTACATTCTAAAATTAAACGTATGCAAAAGGTCAGCTTTGAGTTAAGAGAAAACCTTTGAGTAATTCATTCAATTCACAAACAATTATTTATAAATGAGGAAAAGCTATCTCATCTGGCATTTAAAAATCTTAATTTCCGAGTTTTTCTTCAAAATGTTAAGCCAGAAAGGATTTCCATTTTATGGATAAGAGAAAAAAGCAGTGCAACATATTTCCACATAATAAGTCTTTCTTCTTCCAATTGTAACAAGACCATTTATAAATAATTGTGAAAAATCTTGACATCATGTGAAAAAAAATTAAACATTGCTAAAATGCCATGTTTGAAATGTGAGCATCTCCACTTTCATGTGTAATGGCTGTTACTTATGCAGGCTTCTAATCACAATGCAATGCAAAGCACTATCTTTAGCACAAGTCTAAGCTAATCATATTCACGATTGCTGAATTTTCAGTGTACTTCCAAATTTTTAATAAGTCCAGATTCATAGCAATTGAATCAAATAATGCTTTCTTTTGAATAACATTGATCAAAATATCCTCTACAAATCTCACTTAATCATCTCAAGTTACCAGCAACCCTCTGAGATTGAAAAGCTTCTGGAATTTGTTTCATTCACAAGTTCTTGTTGTCCTCATATTAGACACTGCCTCATGAAGAAAATGAGATGCTTCTATCAATGTTCAAACAAATTTGAAATTTGTAACGTATACTGTAGAAATAATTTTCCTAAAAAAAAAACTGCTACTGCAATTTTCAGTTGCCAATGTAAAGCCTTACTTTTATTGCAAACACACAGTATTAATTGCAACCATGACATGGTAACTATGGTATAAAAAGTTGGTATAAGTTTTCACAACGGCTTAACTTTAGATAGATCCATTAAGATGAATAGCCATCATCAAAAGCTTGCCTTTAATTTGTTTCACACGAAAGTGTTACCAAAACTCAGCTCCACCATGCTAGCCTGCTCACCCAATGCAGCACTTTCTCCCAATGGGCTATTCAATTCACCTTCGTTTCTGACCTAATTCCCTGAAACTGTACCTTTCCATTTATGATCAATCAGCTATTTTATTTGACACTTAGACACACAGTTTATACCTGATACACAACTTAACATTTATAACAGATAGAGAATAAAATTAGTAAAGTTTGCTTAATGCCTTATACCGATTGAAATGACAACCTTTTATCATAACTTGATGTTGGGGGCAGGGTGGGGGTTATTATCCCTGTGATTGATTTAAAATGTCCCACAGGTAATAATTATTGGAGGGGCTATTGCAAAAAAGTTGGACTTGCAAATCAAAGATTGCTTTTGTGCAAGTTTTTTTTCAACTCAGGATGATGTCCTTCAATGAGGGCAGATTATCACAGATATATTTAAAAAAAGCCATCCAATTTTTTTTCGTACTTCATTGCATCTTTTGCTTGAAAGGACCTGTTTAGTCCTGTATCTGTTGTTGTCATCTTCTGACAGTTTAAACCTGAAATATGCAATTGCTTTCTGTAAATTAAAACACTTTTTTTAAATAAAACTAACACTGGATTTTAACACTGATGCATATTCAAAAAGTATTGAAAGCAAAATTGTGTTGTCCTGTTGTAGAAGAAAACCAAGAACATCTTACCAAAGTTTTATGCTTTGACTGGATTGTATATTGGAACAGAAACTGCAACCTTATGTTTTATTGAACTTCCCACAAATGTGTGCAACTGTGGAACACAAAACAAGGCTGTTCTGTGATAAACTATAGGAGTCTCAACTAACACCCTGATTATTTAATGGTTCCATCCATGCAACCTTCTCTGAGCTGTGTAAAAAGTTGTCATTGCTAATGCTTCAACTAAAATGACAAATGCTTGATCGGAAATGCAGTGGAAATTTGAATCTTGCATTCTCTTAAAGAACACCATGTGCAAGGAGTAAACAGTGCTCCTTTTACATAGCATACAATAACCTAGTCTTCTTCCAAATTACATTATCGTGGCCTAATATCAATGCAATTAATGGGGCTTTCTTTGCATCGTTTAAATGGTACTTTCCTCTGGTAAGCAACCAGAGATTGAATCGATTCAGCTGCCTTACCACCAGTAAACTGTATTTGCATGTCTATTTGAAAGCATATATTAAAGATTATTATATACTGCCTCCACACTGGAACTGAAACGGATAGGAAACTATCAAAGTAGAATAATTTGATGGCAGAATACTGAAATTGAATCCAGCCCTTTCAACTCTTTAGTAAAATCACTTACCATGTTTGATCTTAAACTTTTCAAATATTAAACCAATGAATTGGTTGGTTTAAAACTTGAATTCAAGAGTCGATTGAACAGAACTGAATTTCATCCCCATTTTTCAAAGTCAAAGGGTGAATTAACTAGATTAGTTCCATCTTTGTATTTCATGCCACCTCTCACCCTTATAACTAGTGACTTTTTTCCCCCCTGTATACTAGAAAATATACAAAAGAGCGTACATTTCATTCTGAACGAAGTGTCATACATTCATGGCTAGTGGGTTAAAGCTCTTGCTACCAATAGCATTAGGAATCTGAATCCACGTTGAAAAGTTTAATAAATGGTCGTGCGAGGTGTTGAAGAGAGACCTACCAGAAGTGAGAGCTGGGCTGGCCGCTGCAGCACCGCCAGGTGTGGGAGGGACAGGTCTTGGTCTTGCTTTGGGAGTCGGAGGCACAATGCGAACCGGCCCCACAAACTCAACATAGGTTCCAGGGAAGTCACCCTTATCTTTGTTTCTTTCGTTAACACCATTTAGCCATCCTTTGGGGTTCTTCTCGTCCCCCTCTTGATAATTGGCAGTTAACAGCACTGACTTGCTCACGGTCAGAACGTCCCCCGGCAATAAATTGATATCTTCTTCTCTCTCCTTCTTGTATTCAAACAGAGCTCGGTATTGGAAACCCTCGGTACACATTGCTCTTTTCCAGGAATTTGATTCTAGGTTAAAAAGAAGGGGCGTGGGGTGTGAATTTGAAGCTTGCGGGTTCCTGAGAATTCAAGGTCAGTCTCTAGGCTGGTTAATTTCTCCAGCAGGCTGAAACGCCTGCTTTTCCACTTGCTGCAGTCTCCATTCGCTTCAATGCTGCTCGGGGCCCAAGTTGTGTGCTACTGTTAAACTTTACAACATCTGCTGCTTGCTTATTGGGTTTTTCTTTCCCCTCCCTCCCCGTTGCCTCAGACAGTCAACCCCGAGTCAAGCGGAATCCGCTGGACGTTCTCAGCTCAAGTCCTTCTGCCTTGCAACCGAACTGTCCAGAGAGAGAGAGAGAGAGAGAGAGATTTGTTATCCAAATCAAAGGCACTCCGTTACCCCTCACCAATACATGCGCATTATTTGTACAAGACACTAGCAGTGTTTATACGGAAGTACATGAAACACATTGTCAATATGTGGTTTACCATGTAAGTCAACAGGACAAAAATTGAACCGGCGCCCCCTCCCCACTGCAATTATCTCCAAACACACATCCGTCTTCGGCCATTCAGATCTGCGGAGACCAATAACCTACTGTAACATTTCAGAGCTTTTAATATTGAAATGCAAAAAAAATCAGCAAAAAAAGTCCAAAAAATTAAAATGCTAGCGTCATTGACTGAAGCAGGGAAAAAAAAAGTAGACATACCAGATTTTTTAAAAAGCACACTTAAAGCATGCACTAGGCGCCTGCACGTTTTCAGCAGTAGGATATCATGAAAAAAAAAATTACCTCTCGAAATGCGAGGCGATTCCTCGGTAAGATGCCCACGTCTGCTAGAGAGGATTCACGGAATTGCTGAGGGGCACGCGTCTTCTCTCCGCATGATTTGGTGAAATTGCAGACGCTTTATTTCAGATGTACATCTGCTGAGGACTCCCGGACTGCGCACTCTGGACTGTTCATTGCAGTCACTTGCCCCCAGTCAGATCTTTATTCTTTATAGTGTGACGTATGTGACCACACCTCCCGTCTATGATAAATTGCAAGTGAAAGTCGGTCATTGGCATTGCAGATTATGTGCAGATGCAAGATGCCTCCTTAGGAAGGAGCAGAATCTGGTTTACTGGCTGGGTTGGATCCGCAACGTGTTGCATTGAAGCATGGTGGATAGGGGAAGGTGGAGGACGACTGCAGGGAACGATGGACGTTTTCAAGAACTGGGGAAGAAACGCAGCAATAGCAAAAGTTTTCGTTTTGGAAAAGGTTTCCCCGAATTACAAAAAATGTTTTAACGGATATGCAATGGCAATCTACTGAGGATGCTAGGATAAATGTTACAACATAAAAAAATAAATATTTTACCTGCTAAATTCTTCAAGTTCCCTGAACAGCATTGTATTTTGATAGTAGGAACTGCAGATGCTGGAGAATCTTTAGCGTTGTACTTTAACTGCTTCCCCTCAGCAGCTCCGTTAATCCCACTACTTCCTTAAATTAAACATCCAGAAGCCTGAAGCCATCATCTTAATGACCCACCATGAACTTTATGCTCTCAAGATTCCCCCCACACCTTACTGAACCATTGTCTCAGACTAAAGCAGGTTGTTTCCGATCTCTTCAGCCTTTGCGAGGGTAAGCAGAGTTTCCAATCCTATACCGGCTCAATCACTAAGCTCACCCATTTCTATTGCTATAATAACACCTACATCTGCCCTATCTCATGCCATCTACCATTGAATTCTGCTTCTACGCTGAATTTTCCAATGATCTCCAGGCTGGCCTCACAATCTCTAACTTTCATTAAATTCAGCTCATTCTAAACTTTGCTGCTCGTATCATAAAAACGCTGGGATTGATACAATGAAAGTTTTACCATGGCTCAATTTGAATGCATAATATCCTCTCCATACCTCCCCTTGAAAAATGCTCTGGAGTTTACCACCCTCTTTCAAGGAGATAATCGTAGATCATAGAATCCCTACAGTATGGAAACAGGCCCTTCAGCCCAACAAGTCCACACCGACCCTCACAGCATCCCACCCAGACCCATCCCCCCATAGCCCACCTAATCTAAACATCCCTGAACACTACAGGCAATTTAGCATGGCCAATCCACCTAGCCTGCACATCTTTGGACTGTGGGAAGAAACCAGAGCACCCAGAGGAAACCCGTGCAGACACAGAGAGAATGTGCAAACTCCACACAGACAGTAGCCTGAGGGTGAAATCGAACCCAGGTTCCTGGCACTGTGAGGCAGCAGTGCTAGCCGCTGCACCACTGTGCCGCCCTGCATAATGGACATAATGATGTCCGGATTTGGCTAACCTAATGATCTATATCAACCAATACAGTTTATGTTTGCATGTATACACCAGCTTCCCATAAGGTTATACACAAACTGGTGAGTAAATTAATTCATAGAGTCGTAGACCTATAGGGATATACAGCATGGAAACAGACCCTTTAGTCCAACTTGTCCATGCCAACCAGATATCTCAAATTAATCTAGTCCCATTTTCTAGCAGTTGCCCCATATTCCTCTAAACTCTTCCTATTCATGTACCCATTGTTATGAAGTTGTGTAGCATAATCATGAATAGGGAGGCAAGAAGCTAGAATTTGTTTTATTTAAAAAAGGGAGAATAGTGCGTGGTTCCTTTAAGAGATAAAGTGCTTTTATAAGATTAGAGATTTATACAGAAAAAATGTGTCTGTAAGTAGCTGAAAATGTATAGCCAGTTCTAAAAATGGAAACTTGATTCATATGGCCGAGTGATTGAAAACCTTAGGCTTATTTTGATGTCTTGGCAATGAGCTGGAATCAGCCAATTAATTTAAACCAAGCACTTAGTGATTGAAAGTCAACTGAATTTAAATCTTAATGCGATTGTAAAAAAAAGTCATCCAATGTATATGAGGAGAGGGTTTTTGAAAATCAGTGTGAGAGTGAACCGCCAGCTGAGAAATAAGCACATAGCTCTCACAAGAAATTGCTACGCTCACTACGAAAGCACTATCTATCCATAAGAGGTACCACAGCACTTCTAGCTAAGAGCCTTCACAAAGAAGACATCTCTGACACCAGGATCAGCAGAAGAAAGGCATTTATGACTGGAGACACAGTGGAGAAGGCAGGGCATTCAGGAAGACACATGCTGGGTGGACTTTGGGAGACTAATTTTTTTTCTTACTACTTGGCTTATATAAGTGGGACTTGTGTTTATTGAAATAGTATACCAGTAGAATTTTGTTCAGTTAGGGAATAGTTAGGAGTTAGGGGGCAATTGTTAATTTGTTCACTGTTAGGTTTAAATAAATAAATTGTTACTTGTTACTTGTAAAGTGAATATCAGGGATTTTCTTTCATTTAAACTCCCCTTTTCTGTAACACCATCTAAATGCCTTTTAAATGTTTTAATTGTACCAGCCTCCAGCTCATTCCATACATGCACCACCCTCTGCGTGAAAAAGTTGCACTTTTGGCCCCTTTTAAATCTTTACCCTCTCACCTTAAACCCATGCCTGCTTGTTTTGGATTCCCCTACCTTGGAGAAAAGAGCTCGACTATTCACTCTATCCATGCCCCTCATGATTTTATAAACTTCTACAAGGTCACCCCTCAGTCTCTGACACTCCAGGGAAAATAGCCCCAGCCTATTCAAACTCTCCCTATAGCTCAAACCCTCCAACCCTGGCAACATCCTTGTGAATTTTTTTTGAACTCTTTCACTTCACTCTCTCTTGCTGAATCATGAACAAAGAAGCCAGGCAATAAAGTCATGAATTATCCTCACGATCACAGCATAATTTAAAATTAAATGTTGACTAGATGATCTAATAAACAGGATGAACCGATAGACTGAATAACAGATTACAAAGGTAATTTGGTTATGTCATGGTGATTCAATATTCTTTAATTTGCTTGTTGTAATTTGGTAGTGAAGATCAATGTTGGAGATTGATATAAGATTACTGAGAGTAAATTATGCTTAAATGTCTGTGGTAGAAGACAAGTTACCAGTTATAGAACATCAGATTATTGGATAAATTAAAGGATTTACACATTTCAGAGCGTGCAAATGCTGGGATTTCCCTAAAACTCAAAATTGCTAACAGTACACTGTTATGATTCAGTGAATCATATGCCAGGATACTGTGTGTGCTGTCATCACTAGTCACTAGAATCAATGGATAAGTTACCTGCCTTTTTATTGTGTATCCCACATCTCATGCACCAAAATAAACTATTTATATATGTCAATGGATGGCAGCCAGAAAATGCAAAATATTTATATAAGCATTTATTTGTCTAAACTGATAGTTTTTGCAATGTAATCATAGAATCCCTACAGTGTGGAAGCAGGCCATTTGGCCCATTGAGTCCACACTGGCCCTCTGAAGAGCATACTGCCCAGACCTATCCCATCCCTACAACCCTGCATTTCCCATGGCTAATCCACCTCGCCTGCATCCCCCTGGGCACTAGGGGCAATTTAGCATGGCCAATCCACCCATCTTTGCATTGTGGAAGGAAACTGGAGCTCCCCGAGGAAACCCATGCAGACACGGGAAGAATATGCAAACTCCACACAGACAGTCAACCAAGGATGGAATTGAACACAGGTCCCTGAGCTATGAGGCAGCAATGCTAAACACTGAGCCACTGTGCTTTGAATTTGGGATAGAGAGATATTTGAAAAACATGTTATGAATATATAACGATTTTGAGAGTAAATAGAAATAATGCAATGAATGATAACTTGTAGAGTTTGTGTCACATAAAGAGAAAAGGCAGGATCAGATTCTGGATTGATGGTGTGGGATTTGTGGTGTGGTCCTGACTGGATTAACACATTGTGCAGGGTGAATACAAATGTTGAATTGTACGAAGTTGCACTCAACTGACGGGAAGTTGCACAACTTGAGCGTCAACTGGATGCAATCTGCAACATTCACGAAGGATAGAAATTCTAGGAAGCGGTCACTCTAAAGGCTTCTTGAATAGAGAAGTTGGAAGGGATCTTGGTGACTGTTGGCAGACAAGTCAGCAAGTAGCAATTGAAAGTAGAAATGGGATGAACTTTGAAGCTAGATTTGTTTAATAGGTCTGTCCGTTTAGATACCAATGACATATACAACATGGAGGAGGACTTACCGTGACAAATAATTCATCGCTAAAAAGCAAGTGGTTATTCATTGGGTGGGAATAGTACATACAATTTATTTTTAATTTTGATTTTAATTTATCCACATCACTGACTAGGCTTGCATTTATTACTCATCAGTTTAAGTATCAACCACTTTGCTGTGGGCCTAGAGTCACATGTAGGCTAGAGCAGGTAAGGATAGTAGTTACCTTCCCTAAAGGACATCAGTGAACTAGATGGGTTTTGTACAAAGATACACATACCATGAAAAATTAAACAAGCTGCAAGAGGTAAAAACGTGGTGTAAAGTGTTGCTGTAGTAGCCAGAAATAAGATCAGGCTTGCCATGCATGATTGGGAGATAACTGGTTGGGTTACGGGGCATTCTGAAGCGGGGAAGGTGAACTGCCAGCAGTTGTGGTACATGTCGGTGCCAAAGATATGGGTAAAAAGAGAAATGAGGTCCTGCAACAGGAATTAACAAAGTTAGATAGTAGATTAAAGAAGACGACTCCTGAAATAACACCATGGAGGCTGGTATCCCATCACCTTTATTCACACGTACACGATACAGGGGCACTGATTGGCTAGCTCAGAGCCAGTCTCTAAAATGACGAGAATCTCTGAGACTCCTGTTTATATCTGTCAGCTAGGGCTCCCTGTTGGCTCAAGTTAACAGCCCCGATCAGGGAACTCATACTCAATGAGATCCACCGGGCCGACCTCGTTCTAATCACTACATCGCTCCCCCTCCACCCAAGGCCAGGGATGTAGGCCTGTCCTTTTTCTTGTAGCTTCTCCTGGGACATTTTCACCCCAGGCCCAGTTCCTCCAACTCTGA